GATGTTGCAGGAGCTTATGACTGTGTGGATGAATGAGGGGCGGATGACGACTGGATGTGATTTGGTGCGACGAGGCAGTGGAGGATGAAATCGAGATCGTGTTCTCATTCGTTATATCTTCGGAGTTTTTACCATGAGTGTTGTTTTAGGGTTTAGGGTTTTATTTTAAGAATATGCATGATGAAAAATTGAGATTTTAAAATATGTAGAAATGTCTATATATATATATATATATATATATATATATATCGATATAGTATATTTTTTTAAAATAAAAAACAAATAAACCATTAAAAATTATTATCATTTTATCTTGCACTACAAATACTATTAATAAATAAATATCACTAATTTTACACAAAATTTAAATTTGAAATTCAAAGAAAAAATTAAAATTAAGTATCAAACATCTTGCACAATATGGTAGGATTGTTACTTTTAATACTAGTAATTAGAATTCCTCTATGTTCATTTTAAAACTTTGCTTACATTCAAGGTATTGGGATATTATGACTTTGTCATAGTGTAGTATAGGAAAGTGAAAATACTTCTTAAGTGACATTGTTTATTCCTAACCAAATCTTAAATGAATTATATAAATTGAACAACTTTATTTGCTTGTGAATATATACCATCAATACCAACAAAACTCTAATGCTGACCACACCACCATTTAATTGCTTTAGATTTGTTTGAAGATATATAAACATGAAATACAAATAACCAACATTCTTACAAGATTTGCACGAATCCAAATAATCGTTTTTTTCTTTAAAGATTTTAAATGTGATTCAGTAGGCAATAAGCAGTAATGATGCTAAATTCTATTTAAAAAAACCCTTGATAGGTCAGACCACCTTAAAATTATGAGTTACCATAATTTTGTGCAATACTCATTTCTATATTAATGGCCCCAAATAATATATTTTTTTGATATTATATATTCATGTTGCTTTTACTTCTGTTGTATGATGTTTGATTTTATATACAAGTGACGTTAAGGCTCCATCTGGCTTCATGGTACAAAAAAACAGGTACGATTTTTGATTTGAAATTGAAAGAATTTACAAGTATTTATTATTTCCTAGAATTTATGAATGTGCGTTTAAATATATAATTTCATTATTACTATTGAAAGTTCAAATGTAAATGTATTCTAAAGATATATTTTTTAAATCATAAATGCTATTAAAATGACCAATATAGTGTTTTACAGCTCAGATTTATTTAGTAAATATTTTAAACCTTTAGTACATGGTGTGTTTTATATTTTTTGTAAATAATATATATATATATATATATATATATATATAACACTTCTAAGACTCATACTATATATATATATATATATACATGTGTAGTACCATGTAAATGAATGTAACATGTAAATGAATGTAACATGTAACATGTAACATTCATTTACATGATTTTTTTTATATATTTTAATATAATGCAAAATAATCATAATTTTTTCTGCATTTTCATTGACTGATCTACAAGAAATTTCCATGGCTAAAATATTTTGTAAATTAGAAACTTTCAACAGGTTTGAATAAAGTTACCTATCAACTTATGAAGATTTTAATATTTCTACAAAATGAGATAAAGCAAAGAAGAAAACCTTCTTTTGTCTTAAGAAAGTGATAACAATAAAATTAGACACTTAAAGTTTTTTAAAAAAATAATAAAAAAACATATTGATGAATAATTGATTTCAAGGCTTGTAGCTTTTTTTTTTCAAAATTCTGAACAATAATATTTTCTGTATTTAGTTAATGCGTTAAATTGAGCCAAATTTTTTATGTTATAATAATTTTTATGTCGGTAGAAAACAGTTTCTTTTTAAAATAGAAAAAAAACGATAAAACAAAAAACAAGCGAAATCAAAGCCCTGAAGATTTTAAACTGCAAGTGCATGTTTTTGGAAGTGAGAATACTCTGCAAGTTTCTTAAATTTTATTTTATTTTTTAAATAACTTTAAATATAAACATTTTCTTTCTCGTATTTTCATACAACATAACTGTTTGGTAAAATTTAGTTTGTTAAGTACCATTTTTTTTCCTGTCAAATTTTAAATTATCTTTTCATTATTATGTATTAATTATTACTAGTATCACATTAAAGAATATTATTTTAAAGAGAAAAACAGAATTAAATCTATATGTGTGCATGTAAAATACACTCATTATAGAACAATAAAATACATGTCCAATAACTATTCAAAACTTGAATTTCACTCTCAATTGAACTGGAAGAAAAAAAAATAAATAAAAAAAAATAAATCCTTCACCTTTAATTGACTACAAACTATTGATTTTTTTTTTCCATTTGGGTACTTAGAAGTTTTTTCCACTATATATATATATATATATATATATATAATTATTTATTGTCAAAAAAACCTTTAGATCTCAAACAAAAGAATAAACAAGTATTTTTACAAACTTGTCTTTCAAAACATCAATTCCAAAAAATATTTGAGATCATGACAAAGCTTTTGACCATTTAAAAGATTGGAAATGTTACACATCTTCAAAAGCAACATGCTCAAATGGACTAAGGAATGAAAATGGCGTCTACTTGTTGAATACAATTGACCACCATATGTTGCAATAAAGACCAACCTAAAGAAAAAAATCATCCATCCATCCATCCTTTTAAATTCATGCATCCTCTCAAGCTTTGCTTTCAACTTTTGTAAAGACAATGACCACCTTCATTTTGGTCTCATGGTTCCAAATGTATGACAAACTTGAGACAAGAAGCAACCTTGGCAAAATGGAATCATCTTTTTTCTCTTTTTTTCTTTTCTACTTTATCTTCATGTTGTCTCTTCTTTTTGTTTAAACTAGTTTTATAAATCATATGTCAAGACTTGGTTATCTTATAGTTGATTAAAAATAAGATACTTTAAATTCTATTCTTATATATATGTATATATATTTTTGGATAAGAGGCAATAGATAAATGAAGTTCATTCACATGTTACAACATTGATGAGTGAACAAAAAGGTTGATTTATCATTTTCATAAACACTTGTGATAGGAGGTGATTGTGCAAATTAAAGTTGTTTTATTTTGTTTTGATGTATATGTTTTAATGTCTTCTAGAAATTTAAACTTATATCATTACCCACATATATGAAAATTTGTTCAAAGTCAACTCTTTTAATGGATCCTTGATTTTGTTGTATAAAGAATGGAAATGATGATTAATTTCATGTTTTGGCAGGTTTTGAGATTGATTAATTTGAGTCAAATCCAATCAAATGTTTTAATATTCTTTAAAAATAAATACATAAATAAATAAATAAACAATTGATTGTCAAGAAATATTATTTTATATGTAGATAATAATAACAGTCTATTTAAGGAAACAATACCAATTAAAAAAGATTAGACATTAATGTTATATTTTAAACCAATCAAATGGATTTCTAAAAGTAATATAAAAAGTAAAAAGTAAAAAGAAATACATCGACAATACTAAAAATAAATTACAAACTTGTTGTAAACAAATAAAATGCCTTTCATGATCTTTTGTGAAATTATCTTCTAAAAATTTCAATCAACCTTGAAGAAGAGTCTAAATTTTAAGATTAACTTTTTTAAAAGCATGTATTTAGAAAAGAGCATATAACACAAAGGAAGGTGATAAGAATAATTTGGGTTTTATTTTGATTCATTTATTTAAGGTCATATTTTATTTTCATTCAAGGTATCAAATTTTAAGTCAAAAGTCTAAAAATATCAATATAATGAACGGTTGGGATATATTCATCTACTTAAACGAACAATTTTCATCCATCCATGGCCCAAGGTCAAGCCTTAACATTCCGCAACGAGCCCCATAGAATATGTGTTTAAATATATCTATATCTATATCTATATTTATTTATAAACACTCGCACACACACAAATAACGTCAATTATAATATTCTTCATTTACTATTCATAACTTCTGAAGATAAGATATTCTTTTTCCACACGCACATAATATGTGTGTGTATATATATATATATACATTTGAGAATGAATACAGGTGTTCAAGTACAAGCCATGATTTTATTCTAATTTCATTCCTTGGAATATATATTTTTGGTATTGCATGCCAAGTAATAAATAGAAAATGAAGTCTTCTTCTATACAACAAAATGACTGTCAATATTCATCGTTATTAATTTATATCTATATTTTTTTCATGAAGTTTTGAAGTGAGAATCCGTCTCAATGTAATCTTTAATCAAGACATGAATAATATAATGACTATTCGGTAGAGTCCTCTATTGTTTTACATGATAACTATCACAGCACCATTGTATGATTATATTGATTCTTTTACGCAATAGCATTGCATAAATATAAACTGAAAAATAAACAAATAAATGAATAAATAAAATATCCATGCATCAATAATTCTATCTTGTCCATAACGAGGTCAGTGTGATTAAATCATCTACACATAAACATCATGCAATAAAGCACAACATGGGTTTTGTTCGTATAACTCATATTAATATAATTATTTCAAAAGAAAAAACATTTATTAATTTTTACATAGAAATAGGGTGCTGAAACAATTCTACGACATCCACACATTCATCCACATATGGATGTAAAGCCAACGAGTCATTCAAAAGTCACACACATGACCACAACATTCCCAGTTTCCCCGAACCCCCGAAATTCCACCGCGAAGGCACCAAGTGACATGGACGCTGACTCAGCGTAAGAACCCCGTACTGTATACGAAGCGTAGATGAACGAGGGAATCAATACAGACTGTGGAGAGAGGGTACGAGCTAGACGGATATGTCGTAGTATACCGGAAGGGAGGGAGGGCATGGATGAAGGTAGGGTCTAATGGATGAAGAGAGAGGATGTATTCTGGATGAAATGAATGGATAGATATAAGATATGGATGTATGAAAGACGTGATGGATGGATAGAGGGATACAGTAGATGGGGGGGTTGCATATATGTTGGGGTGGCGGGGAGGAGGGGGAGGCAGTGCCGTGGCAGAGAGGAGCCTGCTTTGCGTCCCTCAAGGCAGGCTGATGGCCTCACAGTGAAGCCAATGCCCCCATGGCCACTACGGCGACGATGTCCATGGAGTCGTCTCCCTGGCTCCTCCACTTCGTCATGGTGCCTTCAATGCTTTCTTCTCCTCCTCCCTCGCAACAACAACTCTTCTTCTTCTTCTTCTTCCTCTTTCCTCGTCTCAAGGACTTCCTCTGCTGTACTGGCCTCGCTGTTCCTACGCATCATCGTGCCTTTGTTGCATCAATGTAGTTTTTGCCACTTGATGGCTGCAGGTTGCGGCTTCGCTTGAAGGTTTTCTTCAAGGTTTGGAATCGGTGGTAGTGGTGGTGGTGGTGGTACTGCTGCTGCTGTTTGTGTATTGTAGTTGCTTTCATTCCCCTCTCGTTCCTCCCCTCGCCCTTGCTTGGCAATCCTCCGCTTGAAGGCTGTAGGGTCCAGTTGTAGATGCGTTGTGATATATATGCATTTGAGATTTTGTATGTATGTGTGTGTTTGTGAGATAGAGAGAGAGAGAGAGAGAGAGAGAGAGAGACGATTTTTGACGTGTAAAAGAAGATGATCCGGGAGGTTTTGAGAGTAAGGGAGTGGAGCATTCGAAGCTTTGTTGAGATGGAGCGAAGTGTTGGTTGAGTGCTGGAGGAGTGGGAATTGGAATAGGGAGGGATTTTATTTAATTTTTTTTTGCACATTAGGAGCAGGATGCCTGGTTTGAGATACCAGTTCGGCATGAGTCCTTTTACAAGCTCGCTAAACCGAGGTGACGGTAACGTTCTTGCGCATCACACTGGTGGAATCTCGCGGGACTGGGAGATGTCAAGGCCTCAGAACGTGCCTTACTCGCCTAATCAGTCCACCAAAATGCGTCGTTCTCCTCAATGGCTGCAGCCTAGTAAAGAAGAGTTCAAGCTTAATTTCCTTGGCACAAGTAAGCATTGGAGCTCCGCTGCCGTCGTGCCGGACACGACCTGCGAGAGCGATGACTTGCAAGCCATGGTGCATGATTTCATTGAAAACGACTGTGTGGAACACATGGATGGAGTCGATAGCGATGGTGCCTCGATTGGCTTGACGCTCAGTGAAAACTTGCAGGTAGAGCTTTAATCCTTCGTTTTTGACCTTGGATTCACGTTGCAACGCCAATTGTGAGTGGATGTAGATCAGCTTTGCATGGAGAGGGCTTTAGTGATGGAAGGGCTTCCTGTATTAGCTGTGGAGATTCCCCCAAACTTGGATATCTGTAGGTTTTAAGCAAGACAACAGCCTTGCAGTAAAAGAAACCTTGAAGGTTTAGTAATGTGACGGAAGAAGAAGTTTCATTCTCATTTTTCTCACATATTGTGTCAGACACTGACGAAGCCGCACAACACACGAGAACGGGAGCTTCTAGCTGACGTGGAGCGCCTCATGTTGACAGTGAACGAGGATACCAACCTGATCTGTGACACCATTGGCACCGATTGCAAAGGAACGTGCATCAAACGGTACATTGTTAAGCACTTGAAAGCCTCTGGTTACAATGCATCGGTTTGCAAATCCGAGTGGGCGAACTCCGGCCGTGTTCCCGGAGGCGAGTACGAGTACATCGACATTGTGCTCGAGGGAGATCAACCGGTGGACCGTTTTCTCATAGACATCAATTTCCAAACCCAGTTCGAGATCGCAAGGCCTACCGCACAATACGAGTCGGCTCTGAAATGTCTTCCTATTGTGTTTGTTGGCACAATACCCAATCTCGAGCAGGTTTTGAGGCATATGTCGGAGGCTGCCAAAGTCTCTCTGGAGCAAAACGACATGCATCTGCCGCCATGGCGCACACTAGACTACATGACGGCGAAGTGGTTATCCAAATTCGAGCGGAAATCTGATTTCGGAATTTCCTCGGCTCACAGAGGTCCTTGCAGTCTTCACTGTCGTGGAAAGAGGATTCCGTTTAACAACGAGGCTAGGCATCTCGGCGACGAGTTCAGACATACGAAAAATCCGCTCCATGTTGAAGCGAATGGCTCAGGATTGTTCCATATGCCGCGGGGACGAAGCTCCCGTGCAAATTTACTGCTCAGATCTGCAGCATAGATTCTCTTGCTGCATGATGCAAACATCAGCTTGCAAATCAAGCAGGCCTCCTCTTCTTCTTCTTCTTCTTCTTCCCAGCATGGCGTCCAGCAGTGGAGCAACAACCAGTGACATCATCAGCCCTCTCATTTTTCTTAACTATAAATTTTCAGGTACCAACTTTGCAGTAGAGTATTTGTAGAAAGAGACTGGAGTAGGAGTGACGATTTGGCGGTCCAGGTTGGATTTTCACCTTACGGCGAGAGCGCGAGCTTTTCTGAATCATGTCAGTGTTTAAAGAGATTTTTGTGCAGTAGAAGGCCTTTCCAACATTTTGACGCCAATCTTTGGTATACATATGTATCTAGATGTAGAGAAACCATTTACCACAGCACCCTTCTTCTCGAAGCTATTATCCCTAGTAGCAGCATGGTATGCAGCATCTTGCATGTCGTGCAAGACGCTGTTCATCCTTGGAGAAGTTCAGTACATTTATGTAGGATTCCCCCGCGGCTCAAACGACACTGTAATGAGACTCTTCGGTGCTTCGAGGATGTTTTAGGATTTGTTTTTGATTAGGCTAGAACCGCAGATAGTGTCCCGGCAGATTGAGCTGCATTAGAAAGGATAACAGCTACGCCATGTATAGACAGTTAGGTAGCTTGGTACACATGATTCACATCGATGAAGAGGATTTCCTGCAGTTTCATTTGATGAATAAACTGGATTCAGCCGTCGCAAATGGATGGCTTTCTCATGCAATTTTTCAGCATCTGTCTTCTTTGTCTATCCTTGGAACTCCGTCCTCTGGGTGCAATGTATTGTTGTGTGGGCTTTTTCAATAATAATGATAATTTAGCCAAAAAAGAAAGATGACAAAACTCTTGTTGGGTATACAACAGTGTGGTCTTAAAACATCCATGACTGTTCCGCAGCTGTCCTTTTCCGAATGCCACAGCCATACAAAAACCAAACTCTTCACTATTCCAGAGCTCTTATGATGCAATACATTCAAGTGCATGAGACGAACTAATCTCCAACACATGGGGAACGGCATCAAAAAAACAATTGGCTGAGCATAAAGAAAAAAGGAAAACCGGAGAAAAGCAGTGAGATACATTCGAAGTACTTTTTCTCGTTTGGGGTTCCACTATACCCGAGAGAAAGGGATGTTCGATTGAAGCGAGGGGTCAAAAGACACCAAGTGACAGAACAACTTGTGGCACCCAGAGCACGCAGGGAGGCCTCCCGGAGCACAAACCCAGCCCAGCCAGCTTCGACACAGCCAACTCGGTGTCAGCAGCGAACACACCAGCTTCACACAAAAGCGCAACAGGGAAGGGAAGGTGGGGTTATGTTATGTTGGGTTGGGATGTTCAGACAGACGTGTGCTACAGAATGCGCACTGATCAGCTCTCGGACCATGACATGTCGTAAAAGGTCCGTCGCATCCCTCGACTTGTTGGTGATGGGTCAGAAGCAGGATTACCCTTTGAGGAAAGCAGTAGTCAAGCTTGGTGGAGGGTGTTGAGAAAGAGCGAGAGAGAGAGACAGTGAGTTATATAAAATAACTAAAAAAATGAAAAAAAATTAAATTTTCCTTTCTCTTCCACAGATGATGAAGTGTGAAACCACAAGGTAAGACAATCCTGCACTAACATCACCACCACCACCACCCACTGCAGAAAGAAAGAAACGGAAAAAGAAATAGAAAGCATCTATCACGTTCCGGTACTCGAATCTGCGAATACTCAGGCAGGCACTGGGCAGGCAATTAAGCAGAGCTGTCGAGATTCCTTCCTTCGCCTTCCTTTCTCACCCTCCTCCTCCTCCCTGTTTGTTTCTTCCATGGTTTTCTATTCCCCCTCTTTGTTTGTTACTACTCAAGATATTTGTTCTTATTCTTTACTTTTTTTATTTATGTTTTTTCTTTTCTTCTTCCAGTGTGTGCATGCATGTGTGTGCGCGTATGAAAGGAATTGTGCTGTGTGTCGTCGACGTGGTCAGCTGCTGTGGGTGGGGTCAGAGAAAGGAAGGAAAGGAAGGTGGAGACAGGAAGCAAACCCTATTTTGTATGTATTTGTAGTGTGGCTTTGGTGGATTCTCCTTTCCTTTCCTTTCCTTTCCTCTCCTTTCTTTTCTCATGCATTTGGTTCAACTCTACTTCATTTGGCACCATCTGGCATCATTCCCCACCTCCCTACAAATATCTACTCTCAACCCCATTCATTCATACATTCATTCATTCATTCAATTCTTTTATATGTATATATATATATATGAATATATTATTTACATGTTAATGTCAAGCATTGTTGTGAAGTAAATTGAATGCACTTGTGGACAACTGATGAAAAGTTGGTTGAGTGAGTGAGTGATGCTCTAAACCTTTAAAAATATGTAATAAAAATATACAAATGAAAAACCCATCAGTCTTCCAAAGCATACAGCATTGTCAACACCAGATAAAAGAGGAAAATTAGAAGAATCACAGGTTGAAATAAAGTGAAAGAAGGAAGTTGTTTCAAGTAACATTCTGGATAAACAGTAATCCAGGATGCCTCCCTCATCGAATCTCTCAACAATCTAAGAACCAAGATTTGGAGTTGCTAAATATTGATTGTGCATGCAAATAGATAAGATGTAATCACACTTAATTTTGGAAAACATGTGCTTTCCACTTTTTAAGTGTTTTTTTACGATAAATTAAGTAAACATTATACGAACAATATCAATATATTAGCTTCCATGCAATGGCAAAACGATGCTTATCAAGAATTAAATCAAGGGTCTCATGTGACGAAGGTGAAAGTATATTTGGAAATGGAATATTTTTAGGTGTATTTTCGGATAAGACCAAATAGAGGAAGGAATGGCCCAACAAAACGACGGCTTTGTATCACAATTACCTCTCCCACCTTAATTAGTAATTCATAAGAAAAAAAGGAAAACACAAGCCATTCAATTAAATAGCCCACATTGCTCTTTTTTTTCCTTCCTTGTGTAAAAAAAACTATCATGAGAGAGAGCATGGTACTTTCATCAGAGTTTGACCAAACCGTTAAGTCAAACTCTGATCTAATCTACTTTACAAACCTTCGGGTTTTATTATTATTATTATTATTACCTTTTCACTTTTTAATTCGAAGGTATTTTTGACAATTCGAAGGATCTGGAAAACTTTTATGGCAAGTCTAGCAAACACGCCACATTGCTGTATTTGTCACCAGCGTATATATATGGATACGGTTATAATACGCTACTGAATATGGTATAGACAACAAGGGAGACGAGCTGGGTCAGAGGGCCCCTTCAGAATGGGAGCGATCCCGGTATTAGAGGGGGGACCCGTGCGGGGGGGGATCACGTGGCGTGCCAGGTAAGCCGCACGCTGCCGCACAGTCGATGAGATCCCTTATGTCATCCTTCATCATCGTCTGTCATCCTTCATCCTAATTTGTCCTCAATAGTTAAGTGTGTATATGTATATATATATATATATATATATTTATACCATTATTTGATATATTTTTTAAAAAAAATTATGTTGATAAGTAAAGATGTAAATTTTTAGTAGCACTTAGCCCTTTAATATTCTTTGAAATCTTTAATTTTTTTTCAATTGTAGATTTATTTAATATTTTATCATCTTTATTCAAAAGCTCATTTCAAAAGCTAAAGTAGCTTAGTATTGGGTACTCATAGTAACACTGTGTTCAACTGTAATTATTATTTTTAATTATAATTGGATTTTTTCTTTCCTTTTTCTACCAGTTATTGTAAGACATTTTTAGGTACATTTTTTTTTAAAATTTTAAATTCTAATATTATTTGATTTACAAGTGTAAAAATTTAATACATGAAACATAGATTTCAGATTTAGATTACACATAATTTTTATCAATTAATTTTAATAAATTACTTAAACTGTAATAATTTTATTTTCATTACTCTAAATATATTAATTATTTATGCGTAAAATTTTGTGCCACTTTACATATAAAGTTTTTTTTTAAAAAAATTGAAATCAAGTATATTCATAAACTTAAATTTTTTGACCACGCAATGCATTTCCCATAAAATATCTTCTAATATAATAACATTAAATATGAGTTCTGTATCAATATAAAAAATAAAAAGGATTATTCTATTCTTCGTATATATATATATATATATATATATATATATATGGTTAAAATTGAATGTTCAATTCCAAACTTAATATTATCTTTGTCAAATCAGTACAACATAAATTGAAAAATTATACAAAAATCACATATTCTTGATATCATTTCTACTATTTTTTTAAGATCTTATTTTTATTTTTAGACGTGATAAAAATTGAGTACAACATAAAAAAACGATATGTTTTAAAGTGAACATATCATTTACAAATACATAATAGATATGTTTACTTTAAAACATATTATATTTATCTATTACAAAAAATCTCTAATTAATTCAATAATTAAATCAAAGCATAAACTTGCAAGTTGCTAAATAATTTAGTTTTAATATTAAAAGTATATATATATATATATATATATAAAAGTTTTACTTACTTACTTTTTTTTATTATTTATTTATTTATTTATATCTAAAAATCTTTTATGCATTTTTTATATTAGATATTTATTTATTTATTTATTTTTATAAGTTTTAGGTTTTATTAAGGTCACAGAATGTAAGTTTAAACTTCAACTGATATAAAAAATTACCTAACCAAAGTTAATTTTATAAAAAGAAAGAATAACAAATATAATTTTGTTATCTTAAATGAATTAATGAAAATAACCTTTGTTTGGATATTTGGGCATTAATAAAATATGATAACATCCTTAAAATTTTCAAAATTTTATATTCATACTCCCAAATAAGAAAATCCTTGATATTCTATCATAAGCCGTTCATAATTTGTTTTTCTGTGTTCTTAAGTTGAATAAAATATTTAAGAAAAATTAGAGATTTTAAACTTTAATTTAATAAAACTATTAACCTTCAGTTTATTATAATAATAATAATAATAATTATTTAAATAAATAAATAGAGCATTTATCAAATATTAACATGAATAATAAACATTGACCAGGATTGGTTTAGACTTTTTGTTCACATGGAAATTAGTTTTTTAAATTGACTCCAAACCTTTGCATTAGAAAGAGAGCATGTAAAGAACAAATAACAATGTTGAAATGATTAGTGAGATTCTTATATTAATGCCATTGCTAACATCCAAATCATTTTTAAACATTTATTATAAAATTATTTATTTATTTTTAATCAAAATTCACAATCTAAATGATTTAGTAATCAACAATCTTGCTTTACCTAGAAATGTTGTGGTATATATATATATATATATATATATATTATTAAGATATACAATATATGTTTTTTGCATTTGATTGAGCAATTATTAAGAAATCTATTTGTTGTTTTTTTAAACCAAATACCAATGTTTACAAGGGGACATTTGGATACTACTAGGATTAGCTAGATACTCCTAGTGTGTGTTATTTGGATTAGTAAGGAGTGGGGTTAATTTCCTGACAACACAACCCTTTGAGGAAGTCTTGTGTAGGATTGCCAAGTATTATATGGTAAGTTGGTTGTCAAGGATTATGAGTCTTGTTGCTAATATCTGGTAGCAAACAAGAGAATTTGTCTTGTGTTCATATATATATATATATATATATATAACATTGTAGCAAGTCTAATGTACAAATATACTGCGTGATTTAGCGGCGGGGAACCTCCACCGACCACTGCATCGAGGCCCGTGATATGGCCCTTCCGTTGAAGCGCCAGCACGTCTACTCGATCGAGGTCGCGATCGCTTGCGCTGCAACTTCCCGATCGATTGTCGCTTGACCCGATGACAATTACACACACGCCGAGGCGCGTTGTGCGAGGAAAAACCTCACACAATGAACGCCAGATCAGAGATTAGAAGCTCACGGATGCGTTTCGAAGGATTCTGACCTCCGAACCATGACGCAATTTCCTGAGCAATCCATCACGCTTGAGACAATGCAAAGCGGATGCTTCAGATCTTCTTCTCACTACCCAGTTGGTTGCATTGCAGGAAAATGGGCGAGGCCGTGGGATCGTCGAGCTTGTGCGCAGGCTCTTCGGGGGGTTTCAAGGTCCCGGCTAGTCTTACACCTCACCGGCGGAGACCACGACACACAGCGCTTACGTTTTGTATGTTTTGTGTATGTCGATGGGGGTGAGTGGTGTTGCACAACGCTGAAAAATTCGAAGTGAATATGCGTGAAGATGAGTCCTGGTTGTAGGCTCAGAATGATTCTGGTGGGACTTGGTTTGGGAGGATCGATGTAGGTGAGGGATATATCAGTGGTCGTAGTTCGGACCAAGGCAGCAGTGCAGTGGAATCAAAGGCTGGTTCTGCAACGAGGATCGAGAGAGGAAAAAGAGCTACAGAGGGAGAGCAAACATAGCATGATTCGTCGGGGAGAATCACGTAATCTGTCCAGACAAAATGGCACAGTATGGCATCGTGTATATATACGAGTCGTACTGGTATAATGGGTTTGAATTAGTCGACACGCTCACTGCATTGCCTTTTCTCTGAGAGTGAAAAATCGTTTTGCTCAAGCTTGATGCTGCCGTCATTCGTATCGCAACAAGTACAAGTGTTTGTGGGCCACAAATGGGAGAAGAATGAATAAGTCTGGTGAAAACGAGAGGAAGGGCACAATGTGCGTGGGCGTCCTTGAAGGATCTCGATTGCAGTCTTATAAGTAGGTCACAAAAATCCAGAGCGCCATAGACATGAAGCCAAGAGCACCCATCAAACCCCTCTAATCCCATGTGCACTTCAGGATTCGGTCGGGATCACTGAGGACCGGAGACAGTCTTTCGATCGTCCGTTTCACAAAACAGGCTCGCAGAGTAGAAAACTGAGTAAAAAACCAAAGCATGACGCATGGGATTAACAAGGAGACCAGTGACTCACTCGTCCTGTTCATATGTTCTTTCATTTCCAAAGCATGTTCACTTCACTTTACAATCATAGTTCGTGGTTTGTAACTGAATAACAGTAAGAAACTAAAATACAATGCACATCCTGTGCGGAGCTTATTTGGAGACAACCTGAAGGATAATAAGTCCTTTGTCTAAAATGAGTACTACACGTCTGAAAGTTAATATACATGTATACATATTTCGACACTGAATTTTGCCTCTAGATATATGTTCCTGGATGAGGACTTCTTATATACTTAGCTGGTCGCTGTACAAGTATAAATAACGATGTCCTGAACTTGAAACCTGTGATTTCTGCGCAGAATCTTTTTTGCTGATGAACATCGAGGATTGAATATTCACAGATCTGTGATGAGTTTCAATGAGTGATTGAAAAATGTCCTCCTGTGACCAGAGCTTTCCCCGTGTGTGGGAAAGGGTTTCGAAAGCGCTGCGTCCATTAGTTCGGTTGGAGCTTCAAAATTGGGTTGCTCTCAAAGAAGTTTGTGGGCTTTATTTCAAAACTCGCTGTCACTGTAGGCATTATGGGGAAATCCTCTTGACAAGGCACGTGATGGAAACCGAAAGTGTACCACAACACGACGTCTGTGTCCTCGACAGGGCGATTCCTGCACAGTGAATGGATGTTCATACCTCAGATTCAAGTCCAGAAATTATGAGGGTTTCATCGTCAAGCTTTACAGTAAAATCGTGAATTATCGGCAAAACTTCTCACTCTCGTGGTTTGAAATAAGCTGAGAAGGGTTACCTCGACCAGATTGCAAGACCATCGTCACCATGATTTTGGTATGGGAAGAAGCCGCCAGCATATTTCTCAGACCGATTATAAGGCGTAACCCACATCTGTTTTCACGGATACCCATATCGCATAAAATTTAGGAAGGTGAAGATATTCTTGAAGCAGACATCAGATTACACAGACGCAACGGATTTTTCCACGATTCAGTGCTACGATTTGAAGACAAGAAACAAACTGCAGCAGACTCTGAAAGCATCAACGAAAACTAATCCTATATTTTAGCATAGATTTTCATGGAAAATATCCATGTAGTAGCTGTGAGAATCATACCTGATTGTTAGTGAAGGCAGCTCGAAGTTGAGGAAAATCATTTGGATCCATTAATGACCCAATGAACGAACCGGGTACGATTCGGTAGCTCACTTCATTTCCTAGTCGCGTTGTTCTAGAGGGGTTCTTCATGTAATACTGAGATGGATGGTCAGGGCTGAACTTGATGCGACCATCCTCCTCTGTCTTTGCAACACGCTTTTCTATGCTCCAATAGCTTTTCCTCGGAGATTCCCCCGTGGTTACGTTGTGTTTGACTAACTCCCCTACAACGAATGAGTTGCTGGGTCCGTCTACATCCAGGTCCATGTGGAAAGTTAAGAAATGGTCGTGAATCACTCCGATGGTGTTCTCCGAAATCAGGGGTCCATACATGCCATCAAGCTCTTCCTTCATCCTTTTCTCTTTCATAGTCTCAATTGGGGTACCTTTCACAATCACAACCCCCGTTGCTCCCACCTGCGTCGGTAAACTCGAATCAATTTCCCCTCAAACAAACATACCGTCTATCAAGCTTCTTCATGGGATATAGCATACAAGGAGTGAAAACAGAGTGAGCTGTTTTTATACAAACATTTCAGTATTTTATGCTTTTGGATTCGTCAAGAAGAAAGTGAGAATTCAAAAGCACAACTTGGTTCATGATTGCTGCGACAATGAACCCGGGTATATGGTTCGTTTTCCTACAGAAACTGAAATTCGAATCGTGAATGACAGGAAGCAAAATCCTGCTTCAAACGTGATGATATGTACCTCAACACGAACGACTCCATCTGTTTGAAACTCCCAGTCAATGATATAGTCGTAGTTTCCAACTGAGGCGATCATTCGTACCACCAGGCTCACCTTCGGCCTTACTTCGTGAAGCTGCTCGCCAAAAACAACAGCTAATCAACGTATGAAAACTTCTTGCATTCCATGCTCTACAGTAGATACATAAGCTCATTTCTTACTCAATTCACCAATTTACTTCTTCACCCAAGGCTTCCCACAAACTACACTTCTCGACCCGTAACAAAGATGGACATACGATTAGCCTCAACCATTGATTTCACTGAACTGTAGATGGGATTAACTGTGTCCCTGGACAAAAAAAAAAAAAAAAAAAAAAAAAAAAACACAAAAAGGCAGAGCATACCTCCATGTCACTAGAAAGCGATTCAGCGTGTTGCCATGCAATATTGCCAGCGTATCGCTCGAAAATGCACATCATGTTCGGGGTGGTGTAGGGGGTTCCATCCGGGCCAGCGAAAACGGCGTCCATATACTTCGCATTCTGGGGGCAATCGTTAAGCGGCTGCAGAGGGTGTGCCAAAAGCCCCAACCCATACTCTCCAGCATCGAGGTATGTCCGGAAATACCAGGCTTCCTCCGCCGTTTGGTATGGCACATAGAGCTCGGAAACAAAACCCTGGTATAACACGCTCCGGCCGTCCACCTTAGCTTGCGAGATTACGCTGCCCACTCGCAAATGAGGCCGGACGTGAAACTCCCAGTTCGCCCACTTCACGTGGTGGCCATCAATGGTGAAGCTCGGACCCAGTGGCTGCTCAATCGAGATGGGGTTGATCCGAGGGAAGAAAGGGGGTTTCTGAGTAGAGAGGCGGTAATCCGTGCCTTCATTCTTCGGAATCGGCGACTTGTTTCCATCAATGAACTTCAAGATTTTGTTCTCGTTCAAATCGACAATCACGATCATCCCCTCAATGGGTCGCAAGTAGAAATTGGTCGTGCCGGTTGTGACGAAGCACCCCAGTTTCGCCAGCCGTCTATTCCCTTCTTCCGGAACTCCGAACCAACCCGGGCTTAAGGGGAGGCATGTAACCTCCTCGAGTCGAAGACCATATCTAGCGATCGAATCAAGGAAAGGTTGATATGTTGCGGGGAGTTGCATGGACATCTTCCAGTCATCACTTGTTAATGGAGGGTAGCCCGTAGTGGAAATCACAGTGTTCTCGCGGACGACTCTATTGTCGACGTCAACGATAATTCTGTGCGGCACTCCGTCATAGCTCGAGATCACCTCCGCACAACGAGCTGGGATGGGGTTCCCGGTCTCCCATTGCAGAACTCCATGTTTCTCAGGATCATCAAGCTCGATGCTGTGAAGCACCTGCTTCTCTCTCCCTAGCAGCTTCTTGTTTCGCAAAGTTTCTTGAATTCTTAAGAACTCGGAAGTCGTGAGAGGGTCCAAGGGATGCAGCACCCTCTGATCCGTGACATCCCAGGTTTTGCTCCAGGTCGCATACTTAGTCCCCGGTTCAGGCTGCTTGTAGCTTCCATACAGGATGAGCAACGCGAAGAATAGAATTATCGTCGCAGCAGGGAGAACACGTTTCGGACCATGCGAAGTCTTCAGTGGGTTCATCATCGCTTACCTGTGAAAACAAACGCACAAGTTCCATTCAGAACATCTAGTTGCCGCAATTAACGAGCAATTAAGTGTAGTAAAACGTGAGAACGACATTTGTCCGCATCACTCGAGGAGTTGAAGCTGAACTCGTCGAATACTGAGGCTTGGTTGGTCATCGACTAGGCTCATTTTCTGCTCTGCTCGGTGCGTTGAGTATTTTGCATGGTGGAAACTATTGCGATTGAAGGAGAATTCAAGAGCCATGATTATTTTGCTGAATTGCAGAGACAATCCATGGGATTGAAACAGCAAATATCTTGACAGCTGAAAACAGACGCAGATAACTGGAAAATTAACCACACTCGCTAGCGGTCGACTCTATCATTTTCTCTGTTACAATTTGCCAGGCATGACCAATCGTTCATGACTGGCATCAATCACACAAATTTGGGGTTCCAGCGTTTGGGTGATATACAAATTTATCTTGTATTATCACAGCTTCTCAACTTACTACGAAAGTATCCACCATCAAAATTTGAGAACAACCCCATGAAAACATGCATCCAAGAAAACATGCACCCAAGAAAACATGCACCCAAGAACAGAAATCCTCAGGAGATTCATCAACCAACAACCTTCCATGAAAAGTTCCTGCAAAATCCACCTCGAAGTATGTCAAGGGATGAGCGTTTGAACACATGCATGCAGCAATTCAAGACAGAAATGATAGGAATGGCCACGGTAGTTTGCCTCCGAAAGAGACTCGTGCCTTCAGGTTAACCGCCTCATTGGCCATTGGTGATACCTATAACAACACCATTGACGAGACTCAACTTTTACCAACCTTTCAAAGACCCCAGCTTCGAGGCAGCCTCCCGTATCCTCTAGGTTTAGGGTTTGAGGCAGAGAATGAGGGAGCTGAAGCAAAAAAGAGAATTACCAACTCCGCCCACTGTTGGAACTAGAATCCTGACTGCAATCAAGGATGGTGTATGAATTGTTTCTCAACACACGCTCTCAGAGAAAAAAGCTCCCACCTCAGCTGGTGATATACTAAAAATATCCTACCGCGAAGAGAAGCCCACGACCTGAGAGACTGGGCAGCACCAGTGGACTAGGACACTCCGGCACTGGTCCGTAACTGTGCAAGCTCAGACCATAGTTTATATATTCGTCACCGCATCGATCGACGAGATTGCTTCAGTTGATAACCGATAATTACAATGAGTGTAGGGGAGGAACAATTCCCTATCCAGTAAAGAATTCATGGGTAGGAATCCTTGCACAAGTTGGGTGGTTTCGAGTGCGCTCCAGGGTCGAGCTCCGCCGAGCTTGGATCATCGCATCCCAGCTTTGCGCAATGCCCTTAAGCGGTGGTCCAGGCGCAGCCAGCCACATTACAGTAATGCACAGCGTGGGAATCGGCTATGAAATAAGAAAAATAATAACACACGGGAGGCTCAAATTAGGTGCCAGGTAGCGTGATTCGCAAAAGCGCGACGGCCATCGTAATCGCTGCGGGATCCCCCAAAATGGACGTTCCGATAGATCGCAGCTCCGCCGACGCGTGGATTCCAAGGAGACCGAAGACACGAACTTTGCATTGTGCCTCGAAGACTTTCCATTTTGAAAGCAAAATTACAATAATGCTGTGCTCATCGTGGTTGAAGGAAAAACTAAAAGAAAAATTATTCTAAGATGCTGATGTGCCGTGTTTGAATGCAAAGCCGTGGTTCCGGAGGCCATTGGATCCCGCCTACATTTAATGCTCTCAACAGAGCATTAAATGTAGCTGGTGCTCTCCATGCTATTTATTGTAGTCTACAGTATTTACCGTAACAACAATGTTTGGAATGAAGTGGGGAGACACTATTTATCTTCTCCCCTTCTCTTTGTATAAAGGATATAATCCTATCAATGAACTCACTTCTTGTGTTTGTGTGTGTGTTTTATATTTTTGTGCATATTACTTCTAGCTACTATTGTCTCTCTTTCTCTAAAACATTCTCAACACGTTATCAACATGATTGCTTCTATACTCTAGTCTTAGTTCTGAAAAACTTATGTGCATTTTTTCTTTCATTTTCTCCAAAAAAAATTTCCCCTTCTTGTCCTGCTGCTGTTGGTGTTGTTGCTGTCCTCTATTGTTGCTATTGCTGTTCTCTTGTGTCACTATTATTGTTGTTGTTGCTATTGCTGTTTTTACTGCTGTTGTTGCTCCCACTGACTGCTGCTGATTGCTACTTACTATCACCGATTGTCACTGATTGTTGCTCCTTGCTGTCGATTGCTATTGACTGACATACCCTGCTGTCGATTGTCCCCAATTGCAGTCAAACTATCACAACCTACCATTGAACTACCACACCCTAACATACTTTATTCTTCAGCGGATAGTTGTTTTGCAAATAAATTTCAGCCAAGCTCTGGGAGAATCTTAAATCTAGATTTGATTATCAAAAGACTATTTTTCTTCCATGTGCACATTATGATTCGATACATTTATGTGTCTTGGATTTTCCAAATTTAAATGCTTTCAATAGTGAAATATATCGTATTGTCTCACAACTACGATTATATAAACAAAGCATCTCTGAAGAAGAAATGATTGAGAAAACTCTCTCTATATTTTCTCTCGCATCTGTTGTACTTGTACAATAATATAGGAATATGAAATTGTAGAATCATCTTGATCATATGTCCTATCTATTTCTTGTGGAAAAACAAAACGAATTATTCTTATGGAATATAGAAGCTCGTCTTATTCAAACCACGATTCCAAAATCTCATGCATTTAATATTCCAAAGTCTAAGAAACAATTATACAAACATGGAAAAAATGCTCATAAGCACCAGATCAGTCATGGTCATGATCATTTCTGCCCATATAGAAAGAATAAACGTTCTATAACTAATTATAGTAGAAAATAAAAATCAAAGATGCATTCTTGCCATAAATATGGCATAATTGGACATTTGACTCATACATGTTGTATTTTAGAATACTTTATTAAAATATTCCAAAAAAATAAGAAACTTTGAGTTGAGACTTGTGAAGTTCATACTATGGATGTATCCATAGATTCAATTGGTGTTGATGATTTAGAGGCTTATATGAATGACAAAACCTCTAATGATGAATCAAATGATGTACTCATTGATTATGCAACAACACATACTATTTTATAGGATAGACAGTTTTTTATTGAAAAATCTTCAACTTAGCAAATTAAAAATTTGATGACTTTGGCTGAAACAAATGCATTTTGTTTCTAAGAAAGAATAGCATTATGATAAAATTACCTATAGGCTCTATCATAAAATGTAAACATGTAATATTTGCACCTTCAGTATCTCAGAGACTGATCAGCTACTAAGATGTGCTTGTTAATGGTTTTGACTTTTTAACTCCAATTCTAGATAGGCGAGAGCTTTTGGTTCTTGAATAGAACCATAAAATTGTAGAAAAAGTCTTTGTTGCAAAAAATGGTTTATACCAAATTGTAATTTGGCCTCTTATTATATTTAATTTTATATCATTTATAATAGAGAATCACGTTTTTTTTTTGCATGGACGATTGGAACATCTAAAATCTATATTATTTTGGAAGATAATTTTATGTATAACTAGGTATAATTTAAGACTTGTAGATGGAGATTCTATAGAATTATGTCGTGCATGTATCTAAGGCAAGATGATTGCTCAGCCATCAATTTGAAAACTTCTACAAGAATTACCACCAATGCTTAAAAGGTTGCATGGTGATATTTTTGGTCGTATTAATCCAATATCTAAATTATTTTATTATTTTTTGATCTTTTTTAATGTATCAAGCAAAAAAATCACATGTTTTATTATTATCATCTCAAAATATGATATTTGCTAATCTTATATCTATGCTTATGCATTTTTTAGCATATTTTTTTGATTATCCTATTAAATTATTACATATAAATAATGCAAAAGAATTTGCATCAAAGTCCTTTGAAGACTATTGTACTGCAACAAGGATTGAGTTGACATATTGTATTCTATATGAACATGCTCAAAATAGACTTATAGAGTCATTTATAAAGCATATACAACTCATTACTGGGCCACATCTTCTTCATGCAAATTTACCTACATCTATGTGGAGTCATGCAGTTTTGCATGCTATAGTATTAATATGCATCCATCCTTCTTCTCTTGAAATTATTACACCATAAGAGCTCATTTTAGGTTGTATTCTAAATGTATCTCACCTATAGATATTTGGTTGCTATACTTGAGTTCTAATACAAGAACCTCAATGGCATATCATTGGAGCTCATTGACAAGAAGGCATATATGTTGGTTTTGATTCATCAAGTATTATTTGTATAGTTGATCCATCAACTTGCTCATTATTACATGCATATTTTTAAAATTACCATTTCGAAGAAAACATATTCCATCTCTTCTAGGAGGAATATTTAATCAACAAAGAAATATAGTACTTGCATTTGGAGCATAAAAAATATTTATAATGAATCATGATTCTAGAACATCTTTGGTTAAAAGTGAAGTTGCCAAGATTTTGTATCTAAAATGGATTGCAAATGAAACACTTGATGGCTTCAATAATGCGCCTTGGATTAGAAGACTTCTAATTAATGAAGCTCAAAATGAACTTATTCAGATTGTAATACCACCAATAAATATACATCAAGTTAAAATATCAATAATTAAAAGGACTTGTGGATTAAATAAGCAACCACAAAAAAAGAAAGCTATAACATGTGATTTTGATATTGTTTCTGTAGAAGTTCTTACTAAATCTATGGAATCATCAATTAATAAAAATATATCCAAGTACATTATACCTTTACCTCATGCTATAGAAAAATTTGAAATTATGAGGAATAAAATCAAGTTGAATAGAGAATTTGTTCTATATTGTGCTACAATAACCTTTGAGATAGACTATCTATTATAATAGATGAATCGTTTATATTCATGATGGAAGAAGCTCTTTTTTATAAGAAAGAGGATTTTCAATCTCAAACCATTCAAGAAGCTATGCATTGCTCTGACTGGTTAAAATAGAAAACTATCATTGAGGAGGAGTATGCTTCTTTGCATAAGAAGAAAGTCTTCAGTCCAATTGTGGACACTCTTATTTCTTGCCCTAAAGGATATAAGATGGTATTGATATGTAAGCGAGATGCTAAAGGTGAAATAATCCACTATAAAGCTCATTTTGTTGCTCAAGGATTTATTCAACGGTTTGGCATTGATTATGAATCTACATATTGTCTAGTCATGGATTCAATTATATTTCAATATATTATTGGAATAGCAGTTCATACCATCTTTGAGATGTGTCTCATGGATGTGGTAAGTGCATATTTGTATGGTTCATTTGATGTAGATATTTATATGAAAGTTCCACTTGTTTTGAAAATAGGAATTCCAAATGTACCTACTCTTAGACGATATCATGGTATTAAATTATACAAGGCTATGTATGGACTAAAATAATCTAGATGCATGTGGTATTAATGTCTTTGAGATTATTTAATTATAAATAAGTTTGTAAGTAATCCACTAATTCCTTGTTTATTTATCAAATGAGATTAAATTGATTTTGTAATCATCACTATATATATTGATGATTTTAACCTAGTAGATATTAGATCTACATGCATTGTAGCTATTAACCTACTTATATAAGAATTTGAGATAAAAATGCTACGAAAAATAACTTTTTGTATTGGTCTTTAGATTATGCATCTCATAGATGGTAGTATTTTTTTCTATCAATTAATGTATATTAGACAAATCTTACGGAGATTCAATATGATTGATGCTTATCTATTTTCTACACTAATGATTGGATGTGGTTGTGATGGTCATGATCTATACTGTCAGTGTGAGGAGGAAGAGAAATATTATGAGAGCAACATTCATACCTCGTAGCAATTGGAACACTTTTATATTTAGCCACATCTATTAGACTAGGTATTGTATTTGCACTTAGTATTCTTATAAGACACAGTGTACATCTAACACTATGACATTGGAATGGCATCAAATATTTATTATGTTATTTAAAAGGTACTGAAGATTTGGAATTATAATACACACAATCTATAGATTTCAAATTGGTTGGATATTTTGATGCAAGATATAAATCTCATATTACAACAGCTAAATCTCAAATAAGCTATATATTCTTAAGATATAGAACTGTAATATCATGGAAATCAATGAAACAAACTATAACTGCAACTTTATCAAACTATGTAGAAATTATTGCCTCACATGAAATATCTCTAGAATGTATTTGATTACAATCAATTGATAAACTCATTCAAACAACATGTACATTTTCATATGATGATTCTCCAACTATCTTGTATGAAAATAATAGTACTTGTATTTCATAGATGCAAATTGGTTTCATTAAAGGAAATAGGACAAAGTATATTGATCCAAAGTATTTTAATTATATCAATGACTTGATTATAGATCAAATACTTAAGATCAAGAAAATTGAATATGTAAATAACCTTGCTGATCTCCTTATCAAAACTCTCTCTTTGTATAACCATCGTGGACTTA